TTGGTATGGTGATAAATGGTTATCCGTGTCAACATATAGAATACTTTTTACCGCGTAAAAATATGTCATTTCTGAGAAAAAATGCAAAAACTGCAATATAAGAGTAAGAGCAATGCTAGTATACTTTATATAATTAAAATAATAAAATCTATTGAGTTACGAAACTAGCAAATGAAAACCTGTATTTATCAGTAGTATGTAGAAGCTCTGTAAAGTCACGTTTAAATCATAACATCTAGTATCAGGATTCCATATACATAATGTAAGAGACTGTTTTCAACCATATATTTTTCAATTTTATTCTTTGAGCTTTCATATTTTCTATTTTTAAAGCTTTGCCATTAAGGTCAACGATTTATTTAAGCTAGGTGTTACTTTTCCTTCTTTATCTGTTTTCCTAGGATTTTAATTATGAAACTTATGATTAACCATTTTTTTTAAATAGATAGTTGATACACTATACGTGTATATAACTTTAAAAGCTTAAATACATTCATATTAAAGATATAAACATTAAACACCCAAAACTAGAGTACAAACATTCGTGCTTGCTCATCACACAAAAGAGTGCCTCCAGCTGGACTCAAACCCGCAACCGTTGGCACAGCAAGTAGGGTCACTACAAACTAAGCCAAACACGTCGTCTAACTTGGATCAATGTTATATGGCTATTAAAATTATACTGGTTCCTAGAAAATACGAGAAGCTCAAGTCAGGCATATAAAAGAGGCGGATGTTTAAAGGTCAATTGTTTAATGACATCAAAATTCAAATCCCGATTTTTTACCCAATATTTTTAAAATACACTTATTGTTTGTCAAAAACTCTACCAACATATTAGGAAAATACCGTATCTCTGAGATGAAGAATTAATTTAGTTTTGCAGTAAAAGTAACTGCCACTCTCATACTCTGGTGGGACGACTGCTCGACACGACCAGTGAGAGTTAAGACGCAGGACCGACGGCTTTACGTGCTCTCCGAGGCACGGGGATAGAACACCGCAACTTCTCAATTCCAGGCTGTTATTGAGGCTTACTAAATAGAAAGACTCAATAACTCAACTTGGCACGACCCGGGACTCGAAACCAGGACCTCCGGATGCGCAGCCGTACATGATAGACACTACACCACCGAGCTAGTAGCGTACAGAACACTTAAGTAAGCAGTATTTGAAGTCTCTTTTAACTCTTGAAATATATTTTTGAAGTTATTCTTCTTTTGGCACGTTTGGAAAAAAATATGAGAGTAAAATTTTTACGATGCGCGCGCACACTGACAGCCAGAAAGCGACATGATGAAGTTAGCTGAACGCGACTGAGAGTTGTGACATACGGGATTTAACCATTTTTGTTCTGCTACGCCTAAGAAGTATATCTTCTTACATGTGTACATTAATAAACACGCACGTTTTTTTTTATTCTTTATTCTTATCCCCCCCAACGTGCGTTCACCTTGTCGTGGTGGGGGGGCTCAGTAGTGCCCGGCAATCTAACCGGGCGCGAAGCCAAGAAACGCACAGGGAGGTTGCCCACTTCGGTGGGCGGTGGGAGGTGGCCCTCTTCGGGGGGCGGTGTACCATGCGGGTTGCTCCTGGTACTTCTCTGATAGCAGAGTGGACTGTGGAGCAACCCCATGGTTGTGGTGGTCTGCTTCGGCGGACCTGCCGTCGGGGCGTCGTAGTTGAATGCGTAAGCGATCCTGCGACGCCCCATTAAGACGGGGGAAGGTTTTGTTGGGTTTTAGTGGGTAGTACTGGCTGTATTACGCCGGTGAATTCCACACGTCGTGCGTAAATGCATTTCCCAACGTTAAAAAAAAAAAAAGTTTTTTTATTCTTATACTTATAGTCTAAATATTTATTATCTACAGTAAAAAAAAACATTTCTAATCTTTTACAAAACGTATATGTTTGAATAATCAATTTATGTCTTGTATATATAATTAAGTATATTTGTAATTTGCTGTATTGTAAATAAACTTATTTATGTGTGTATTATTTAAAAATAAGAGCAAGCTCTACAAACAAAAAAACAGATCGTTTAGGACATAACTAAACTATGGTTATAATTTTATCATCTACTGGGACACACAGTTAAGTGAGACAAAGGGTTTGTCGGTCTGTAGCATGTTCAAGGACAACGAGTTAAGTTTAATACGCTAGACCCCTAGTGCTTGACATCGACCGTAACATCATGGAAGCGAAGCCTTGAAAAGTGCTCTACAGCTATTTAAATAATAATTTAAACTATTGTTTGACCAGTGGTTGGACCATAATAATTGAAAAATTCAGTAAAAAATATATGAATACCATTTATATAATTTAATCTGTACAAAAAAAACTTTTACAAAAAAATCTTAACATAAAGCTCGCTAATAACTACTAAACTAAAGAAAATAAAATAGGTTGACAAACAGGAGAAAAAGGTATTAATTTTTAAACTTCATTAAGTAGGAGGATTTGATATTTTAATTCATTTTAATGGTACCTTAAGGCTAAATTCCCTCCCGTGTAAGTCTTTAAATTAAAACTCAACAAGTGGATAAAATGATTTTGAAATCCTACACATATATACATACACCTTTCTAGTTAAAATAAGTAAAGTATAATTATAAAACTATGAGTCAAATCAATTTTTAATTTTTCACCTTTGACCCCAAAAAAAAATTTAACATATTTAATAAATACCATTATTATTATTTAAAGTTTAACAAAGTTGGTATAAGCACAGAGGACAGAGTAGGATAACTAAACGCAAGCTGCTCAAAGGACCTAAAACCACTTTATTTTAAATACGTTACGTTTAATTGAGAAAGTTTTAATTTGAATCTTAACTTGAAAGAGTCAATGAAGCGGAAAACAATATTAAAGAATATCGTGTTCTAGGTAATATGAGTGAACAACAAAACTCTAGATTTTAATTTCTTACATAATTCTATAGTTATTTACGCATGTATATACATGCCTGAATGTATAATGTATAAGCATGCTAATTATACCTTAATACTAATTTAAAAAAATAAAGTGTTTAATTTCGCACAGATTATGATAATTGGAATAACAAGAAAACAAAAACCATTTTGCATTAAAAAGAAAAAAAATAAGGTTTATAAACTAGTTACATCTCCAAAAAAAAAGAAATATGGGACTGTAAAAAATAATTCTTTTGATTTAAGTAAGAAGAATTTCATGTGTGATCCCTTTTTAATCAAATTTACTCGTAAATCATGAAAGAGTTAAAAAAAACATAAATCAGATTTATAGAAAGCTTATATCTCTGTATATACAATTAGATTTTTTTTAATGTTCGGTCAATATATAAAAATAAATAAAATAAATATGTTAGGACATTAACACACAGAACCATTTAATTCCATAGTAAGCTACGAGGCCTGTGTTATGGATACCAGATAGTTGATACACTACACATATATAACTTTAAATAAATACATATTATAAATATATAACACACCACATATCCAAGCCACACGAATAACTTTTGAGTTGCATAGCTAATAATCTGTTATTAGACATGCAATGCATAATATTGAGGTTCGTTTTCAATTTTCATTGCTCAAACTTGGTGGCCAGTCGAGCAAATAATCAGACAAGTCATTAAGTATGGCGCTTACGATTTCCTGTACGAATGTAATAATTTTCGATATTCAAATATTTAAATAAATAGTATATTCAATACATTTTCTAGATATTAATTATGAATATGTTAAGAAAATTTTATATTTTAATTTATTTGGCACCGGCTATAAATGTTATGTTTTATTCAAATGCATTCTTTAGTTATCTATTAATGTAATTATTTTCAAATTTCTAATTTACTTTCACATTACCTAACTTCTCAAAATATAATATGTATATAAATAAAATAAGAAATAATTTGCGGCTTACTAAGTAAAATGTAGAGTCGATCAACTCCAACTAAAAAAACAATAGACGGACAGCGGAGGCTTAATAAACAGGTTCCGTTGGCACCCTTCGGTTACGGAACCCTAATAAAAGAAAAAATAATAGACACAACGGTCCCCTACAAGTTGTCCAGTATCGGAAGTGTATAAAACATATATAAAATATATACATGCACAATGCACAATACACAAGTACTAATAACCAATAAATAAATATTTATATAATAACTACGTACTTAGTATACACATTAGTCTTGAGCGGATCAAGATCCCGTGACCTCCATAGTAGAGATATACTCCAACCGACTACACCAAACAGCCGCTATAATAATCGAAATTAGTTTTTTATTAATTAACTAGCATTGCCCGCGGATCCGCCCGCGTTCAGATGACCAAAAACCAAATTCTTAGGTTTTACATATTAGTATACTCTTACATTGCAGTTTTTATCATAAATGAGACATTTTTCCGCGGTTAAAAGTATCCTATATGTTGACCTGGATAACCAGCTATCACCATACCAAATTTCATCAAAATCCCTCCAGTGGATTTTCTTTGATGCGGTAACGGACAGAAAGACAAAATTTCTAAAAACTATAGATTCGGTCTCTGTATATCATCGGTAATAATGTTTATTTCAATAAGATTTTCCAAAAAATATTTAATGTACAGATTCGGTTTAGTTACAATTTTATTATATGTATAGATTTACTTCTTGTCCTAAGTAAAAAGTACTTCATAAAAAAAGAATACCTTGGCCTGCTTCAAATATTCTATTACTCTATATAGTAATTGATATTTTATTGTTTCCTATTAGGAGTCATTAGCCTAACATTTGCAAAGGCCACTTTTGTCGTGCTAAAATCGCGGTCGCATGAGAAAGTGTATAATTTTTACCACCTCGAGGCTCGAGTACGAGTAGTATTCGAATAGCAATCGAGAGGCTAGGACGTGTTATAGGGACGGGCTGGCTAACTGGCGTGTATTGTGATCGAAGTTCGAAATTCTTGAGAAGAAAGTTGTGTTTTTGTGACGTTTATGGTAATTTTCCAACGAGCGCTACAAAGCCGGTGAAATATGAACGTAAGGTCACCATTTGTTATAGTTAACATTTACAAGTTCCTTTCAGGGCCCTTTACAGTTGAAATAAAAAGTTGTTTCTACACGTTTTTGTCATACTCCTATTGTACTCAGTTCATTGTCTTTGTAAGGCTGTGTATTTATAAAGTTAGACTAATTTAAACGATATTAACACCTGTCACTTTCTCACTTTACAGTAATTAAATAGGAAAACGTATGAATACTAACTATAAAAAACACTTAAGATAGTGATATATTATTTTGTTTTGAAATATTTTTGTTAAAATCTTGTATATTTTATATTTCCAATATTTTAGAAATATACAAAAGTTCTTTATTAATATAGTAAATAGCTTTATTTGTTAGAGTTCTACAAGCGTAAAGCTTGAGTCAAATTATTAATATTAAATGAAGTTATTAGTTACATTTCATACATTACGCGCTCTACAACTTAATGTGCAGATTTTTTTTCATCAATTTCAAATTACATCAGTTCCACGAGAGTATAAGGTACACGCGGGAATCGATCCTGTTACCTAGTAGCAACTAAACGCATCAGTCATAATAATAAGCATTTTAACTAAAAAAATGAAAAGATAAGAAGAATTATTATTATATTATTCAATTGTAAAATAAAATAATTATATAGCATATAAATATCTATAGAGTAAATATCGTATAGTACGTAATATTTACCTTTTCGAGAGTAAAAAATGAAATATAAAAACGTATCATTTTGTGCCACAGACAATAGCAAAATATTTTTTCGTTTGTTTTTTTTAAGGAGTGACAGTTTCTTCACCTTAAATACTTGTACATAAATCCTAAATAAGGATTCACTGACGATTTAAGTTTTTTTATAGACATAAAATAGCAATTAAAAAATCAAACGCTAGATCAACAGTAATTCAGTTCCGTTACTCGATATTAATTAATAGCTGCAGTCATTAGCGTAAGGAAAGGCTAACGTGTATCGCACAACTATTTGTATTTATTTTTACCGATCAAAACTAAGCGAATTTAATATTTCAATAACTTTCACGTAACATCTAACTTGTTAGCTTACATAAATAAAATTAAAAAGTGAGGAAATGAGTTGATTGACTGTAACATTTTCTGCTATATTGGTTTTTATGTAACTTGAAATTTAAATTGTATTGTAGGAAGATAGCTATTTTTCTGCATAATAGCATTATCATATGTGCTTACTTATCCATTTTTTGTCACAAACGATACGATTCAAAATTTCCTCTTTATTGGGGCGATTGAGTAATGAAACGCAGCACTCGACGCGTGTTTGTGGTGTGCTTCACTCATTTCATGCGGTACCCATTTTTCGAGCTTTTTCACTTTTCCTATTTATTTCAAGTGAATTAAAATTGTTTTATTAGTTATCATTCACATCGAAGCTTGACGCTAATTCTGATGTGGTTTGCGATGGATCCGCTTCCCTGATCACTTGTAAATATTCTTTGTAACTAGGGTCACCAGCCGTCCACGGGGTTTGTTCTGTAGGTCAAATTTCCAGAACGAAAACATTGGAACCAAAAACGTACCGTGTTTTCTTATACAGTAGCTTCCCATACACTTCATTAATCCTTCGAGCTGTTTCTGCATCACTGGTGCCACGGTGGAACTCGTATTCGTAAATAACGGGATATTTTAAGTTTTCCAAATTGTTGACAGAACAATGTGAAAGAAAAATCAAATGGCGCGAAAACAAATCACTAAATTCGGAACACAAATACACAAGCCTAAATCTATTTTAAAATTTGGAATTTGGAATTCCTAACCAAACGCCAGATATTTGAGATCAAAGTGGCCAGTTCGACAAAACGCCAATTTTATGTGTAGGGACCTAGCTTAAGTAACATAAGATTACAAATAACCCTTAATTAAAGATTTAAAAAGCGAAAGACAAAAAGTGATTTAAATGTTGACTTAGCCGTAACTTTGCTAAGATAGGTTTATTTATTATTGTGTTGGGTGTGGTGCCGAGGTCGGCCCTAGCTACGTCGACCAGTTTTGGTCCATTGTAGCTCCCTTTATAGTTAGTTCAAAGTTCTCCGCTTAGTCCTGTTGACTCCAGGAACTTCCAGATTTTCTGAGCGGGGAGCATCTGTATCTCTTCCGGTTGCATAATATGCTGCCCTAGGTAGATACTTCTGCGGTGCATGAGTGGACCGCACGAGCAGAGGATGTGCATAGCAGTTTCCTCTGTCTCATGGCATAGTCTGCACATTGCGGTCTGACTGAGGCCGAGGGTAAACATATGTTTATTGAGTTTGCAGTGACCAGTAAGTATTCTGGTTACTGCACTGGTTTTATACTTGTTGAGTTGAAGCAACTCTTTTGTAAACTTTCTGCGATATCCCTTAATTAGCGCTTTAGAGTGTTTTTGTCCAGAAGTGGATTGCCACTCTTGAAGTGCTTGGCGATTGCAGTGAATTTTGAGAATTGAATAGGCATGTTGTTTTGCAATACCACAAAATGGTTCTGGGCCACATACTGGGGTTTCAGCACCCCTTCTTGCCAGTGCATCAGCCTTTTCATTCCCATCTATGCCTGAGTGACCCGGGACCCATCTGAGGGTAACTCTGTTGGATGTGCCCAGGACATTCAGATTTTCCATACAGTCTTTGACCAACTTAGAGTTGGTCTCAAGAGAATCTATAGCCAGAAGTGCTGCTTGGCTATCTGAGTTGATGTAGATATTTTGGTTTCTCAGCTTCCTCTCCAGGATGACTTCAGCACATTTGTTGATGGCGAAGACCTCGGCTTGGAAGATGGTGGCCTCCTTGCCCAGATTGACACTCATGTCAAATCTAGGCTTAAGGCCATAGATACCGCACCCTACATCAGATCCTTTCTTGGATCCATCTGTGAACCAAACATGACTGCCCTTTTTGTGAGACTCTTGGTTTTTTAGCCACATGTCCCGGTTGGGAAGATCTATTTGGTACTGTTTTGCGAAGTTAAACTCTGTACTCATACCATCGACTGGCATTTTCAGAGTTTTGTGTTCGAATGTCAACTCTTTGAGTTTATTCATATATTGCGATTGCAACTTTACATTCGATTGTGTACAGAGCCTGTAGAGGCAAGATTTAGCTTCTTTTTGCACGTGGAGATATAGCGGAGCTATGTCCAACAAAGCATTTAGAGCGTCGCCTGGTGCCGAATGGAAGGCTCCCGTGATGATTAGACATGCCATCCGTTGTATGCTGTCTAGTTTACTCATAGTTGTCTTTTGTTTGGTTTTGTTACACCATACGACTGAGGCATATGTTATGATCGGCCTTACCACGGCGGTGTACATCCAGAGAGCCATTTTGGGTTTGAGGCCCCACTTGGCTCCAGCCATTCGACAACATATCCAGAGGGCCATTTTGGCTTTTTGTATAATGTTGTTGAGGTGAGAGTTCCAGGTCAACTTTTGATCAATAGTGACTCCAAGGTACTTTACCTCATTTGATAGGTTAAGGGTTTTGCCATTGAGTCTGAGTTCAGTCAGCCTTTCAAGCTTCCTTTTCCTGGTAAATGGTACAATAACTGTTTTATCAGCGTTTATTGATAATTCATTTTCTCTGCACCATCTTGTGATGGTATTGAGAGCTCCTTGTAACCTGGTGGAAATTGTGTTCAGGCAGGGACCTCTTACTACTACAACAAGGTCATCTGCATAGCCCTGTGTATCGTAGTCAAGATCTGCCATGATTACAAGTAGTATGTCTACAGCTAGTGTCCATAATAGGGGTGAAAGCACTCCTCCTTGCGGACAGCCTCTTGTAGTGTGGAAGTTGTGCGAGTGTTCGTTTAACGTAACTTTCGCACACCGGTTGGAGAGCATATATTCCACCCATCTGGTGGTTGTGATATCAACACCTTTTGCATTTAATCCTTTCAGGATGGTTGCCGTAGGTGTGTTATCAAAAGCCCCCTCAATGTCCAAAAATGCACATAGAGCTGTCTGCTTATCCTCTAGGGACCTTTCTGCCTTGTCGATCAGAGCTACTAAGGCAGATTCTGTGGATTTACCCTTTTGGTAAGCATGTTGGTTGCAGGAAAGTGGTCTAGCCACAAGATACCTTGTTCTAATGTGCTGATCGATTACTTTTTCCATTGTTTTTAGTAGGAAAGAAGTAAGACTAATAGGTCTAAAGGATTTGGGCTGAGAGTAGTCTTTTTTACCGATCTTCGGTATAAAGATAACCTTGACCTTAGTCCATTGTTCTGGTATAATGCCCCAAGCAAAGCTTGCTCTAAATAATTTTACCAGATGCGGGATAAGGAGTTCCATGCCCTGTTGAAGCAGAGCTGGAAAAATTCCGTCTTCCCCTGCTGATTTAAATGGTTTGAATTTTTTCAAAGCCCATCTAATCTGGTTAGGCCTAAAAATGGTATTGGCCATCTTCCAGTCGCAACTATTTGCCCTGTGGATGTAGTTTTCCTTTGGGTTTGATTCACTGCCGGTGACAGGGTACGATCCTGGGAAATGGGTTGCTCTTAAAAGTTCCAGCGTCTCCATCTCTGTGGTCGTGAAGGAATCGTCTCGCTTTTTTAAAAAGCCGAGAAAGATGTTTGGTGTCTTGGCAAGGACCTTGTGGATTCTCGCTCCTTTATGAAAAATAGATAGGTTAGTACAGATATCAGCTCAGATATACCATATCGTGGAACTTTGAACACATTATTTACCTACCTGTGGTTACCACATACTATACAAAGCTATACGGGCTTGGCCAATTGAGTAATTACAATAAGATAAAGCTGTATCTCTATTTTGTAACATACATGGCACAATCGTTTATGTACTGGGTTACTACGGAAACAATAAAAACAAATAGATATCTATTTTATGTGTGAAATAATTTAACAAAAGATTTCTGCATATTTCATTGAAAAAACGGCAATAATCGTAAATCACCTTTGCGCTGTGAATAGTAAACAAGTTAAAGATGTGAAATAAAAAAATAAATTTAATGGATTTATTTTACATCTATCTA